GGGGGGTACTCCCTTTGTTCAGGTGGTAGGGGTGATCGGCGCTCCTTTTAGGGTTGAAAATGTTCCCTGTGTGGACCTTTTAGGGGTTCCGGCTCAAAAGTCAATTACGTAACATAACCCCGTGCCTTTTGGGGTCATTTATCCATGCTATGCCGCTGTTTACTTTACAATAATGCACTAAATATTTCTTTAATATGATCATCGTTATAATCTTATTATACGCTGTCCTGTTATTCGTTAAACCGGCGTTGATAGCCGGGGTTAATAGTAAATTACTGAAATAAAGCTGTACCTTTTAGGGTTTGAAATCAGGTTGGTTTTAAGAGCCTTTTTAATTTATGCGTACCTTTTAGGGGCCATTTAAAAAATCGACCGCCGATCACCCCTACCACCTGAACAAAGGGAGTACGCCTCCCCCCCTCCCCCCCCCGAGGATGCATATGTATCACTCACATCTCGCTCATTCACTGGCACCAAGTGATGTTAGCAGATCAACATTTGTATAGGAAATCGCACGATCTCGAGTACAATTCGGAATTTATAGGTAGGAGTGATGTTTTGAAAGTTTTCAAAATTGGACGAGCCTTTTAGGCGAGTCCAATTTGAAATGTACGAGAACATTGTGCGATTTTTTGTTTATAATACACTCAACAAAATTGAGCAACTTAATTGGGACTCTAAAGAGTACAATTTGGGATTTAATTGTACTCCTCTTGTCCAATCAGAATCGAGTAATATTGTTAAGTATATTATAAAAACGATTATTAATCGTCTTGCGTCGTCTGCTTACGAACTTTACACGAAGTTACTTTCTTTGATTCTTGGATTTAGCAGATTTAGAACATATTTATACTAGGGATTTGAATTTTGAATGTTTATTTAAAGTAAGCGAAGTAAGTTCATACAATAGTGTCGTAAACAAGTTTAGATATTTTGTCTACTTAGTTTATGAACAGGTAGGAACCCGAGAGGTCGAAGTCGTCATGTGATCGTGCGTTCCTTCTAAGACGTAAATGTTTGARATGTTTATATCATTGCCGTTGCTTGATTGACATTCATTCAGGCCTGTCGTCTCTGGTCTTGCTTAAGAAAGGCTCACAGCACTTCACTTGCATATGCAACAGCTAGTCTTTATCTGCTATTTGGTTACATGATGATTGCAGCAGCGAACACTCGTATTACGCCACAGGGAGCCAAGCTAGGTTTGTTTGGTGTTACATATACTTATAAAAACCTCAATAAAATCGTCAAAATGTGAAATAAAGTAAACAAATCTTAGCTGATCTTTGATCGCCCTGTGTAGTTAGATTATGGATTAAGCCAGTTTTAAGCGTTTTCCCCCTCCACCGTTAGGCATACCCCTAAACCCGGACCCGGACCCGGACCCGCACCCGGACCCGCACCCGGACCCGCACCCGGATTCGTACACGATATTTTCAGTTGGTAAATATTCAAACAGTCTGGCCCCATCTAAAGATCAGCTATAATTACGAATAACGCCAAATGAGTCGTGTCCTGAGGTCACGGTGTAGATGATATATTATATATTTTTTGTGTAGTATCCGGGTCCGGGTCCGGGTCCGGGTTTAGGGCATGCCCCACCGTTAAGAAAGAAGAGAAGGTGGGAAATTCGGAATCCCAACAGTCGAGTTGCCTTAATTTGAAAATTTATTTGCAGAAATCAAAATCGATTGAACAGTATGATGTAGCTTAGAAGTTGTGTTTACGATTGAACTTCATTGCCGGGAAGTTTCGCTAAAATAGTACGGTTCCGTTTCTATTTCCGTATTCTATTTGCGATTTCGTTAAATTAATTTTGAAGCAAAAAACACGATTAATACTACGGACACAATTTGTTTGTTATATAACCTAGAAAAATGAAACTTGGCAGTTATATTTACGAAATATTGACAATAGACAATTTTCGGGTTCCAAATTACGTCTGTTCCTTGATTACAGACTCATTTACTCGGGGTTAGCCTCGTATCAGTGTCTAAMTATTCACTAATACCAACGGTAAAGTAAAGAATGCACAATTTCAACAATATAAAACTTTTGACWTTCCACGGACCTTCACTGGAACACATGAATATTCTACTCAAAATCGAGGCTGACCCTCAACAGAGAACTCGAAACTGGATTATTCGTACCTTGAAAATTGGTGAAAGCTAAAAATGTATGACACAAAAGCAGTCCAACTTTGAAGTCAGGGTACAATTCAAGGTACAATTTCAATCTTTGTATTTATCTCGGAATTCCCCCCTACAATATCTCTTAAACTTTCCCAGTAGTTAGAGATCAGCCGGTTATTAATACTTGATTTTGGAATTGTGGTAAAAATYTTAGCGCTCAATTTTGTTTACTGATTGCAATTTTATGAAAAAAGTGATGTTTAGATTTTAAAAATTTGTGCAACATTCGCGTATAATTCCAACATATTTCGATAATATCTAACAACCCAATCAAATTAAGCGCGAACTTCAAAAGTTTTAAAGCAGTCGCATAAGAATTGACGATTCTGGAAAAGTTTATTTGGAAGAGTTTATTTGGCTCAAACCACTTAAATCTAGCCTGCGTGCAGCCCGCGACTTTAACTCTAGTTAAACTTAACCACAGTTACGTTTGGCTGCACCCAGGCTAGTTAAATGGAGCAAASTACTTTGAATGTCAACAAGCATAAAGATGGCACAGGGACCCCAATCTATAAGAAGTGCAACTAGGATCCACGAATTCGCCATAGGGCGCGTTTGTTTAATCCTGATCGGCACCTGTAAATGACTTCGTCTTGCGTCTAAATTCCCAGAGTCCTAGAGGCAACAAAGCCGTTTTTTTTATCAATGGTTAAAGAACATTCTTAATCAGTCCGTCACACTATTGCCAAATTTAGTCGATATCTTTTCGTAAAAGTCGCGCTATGGACAGAATGAAGGAATATTTTTTTACAAGGGTGAGATCACCCTATCCCACCAAACATTATCAACGGACGGCATGCGACATGACCAACATATGGCATGTTGATTATGTACTGGAAGAAACCTGGTCTACTAGCATGCAGAATAATTATTGAATAATTATTGAATAATTATTAAGAATAATTATAACTAATATTAGTAAGAATAATTATTGAAAAGTTCAATAAGATATAAAACTCTGAGTTCAGTTTTTTTAACAGTCTTTAATATTGCTGTTATATTTATTTAACTTGTAGCGACATTCTTTTAGTTTGTGATGATAACATTTGTTGTAACATTCTACAGGTAATACGATGGATCGAAGAACACGGAGAAACCTTTTTGAAAAAACACACTGGTGTAGGAAAATCCCTTGTCAAAGCTGAGGCTTTACTTCGACGGCATGAGGAGTTTGAGAACATAGCGCAGGTAGGAATGCAGGTTCAACAAATGTAAGTGATATGAATGGTATATTTTATTTAAGATATTGCCCGCTGGCCTGCTGCTGCACAATGGGACACAGGGACCCCTTTGGGGTACTTGGGGTACATTGCACCAATTTCCAACCCCTATACCCATCCATGTATAGTAAAGGCCAGACACTGAAAGTGGTCACTGATAGGTTTTCACATCCTCAGTGGTTATTTTACGTCCCTCTGATGCAGGGTGAGGTGGACTTCAGAGCTACGTAAAGGCCCAGCTATTTGTAGATGTGATTACAAAGTAGCACYTCCACAGTTGTTTTAAGACCTTGAGTGCAAGTCCTGCYGGGACTCGAACCATGACCTTTCATCAGTTAGATAGCTAGAGGGAAGACAAGGAAGCGCTACATTCTCGTTTCCCAGACACTACTCGTTAGCCAAACTGTAGGCTCTGGGAAACTCTACTGACCGGAATCTTGCGACCAGACAGAATCTTGCGACCGGRTCGTGAGAGCGCATGCCCTATCTCAGGATCGATCAGTTTATATGTTCAACAAAAAWTAGTATTTGATGGAGATAATATACGTTCATATAAGTTAATTTGTCCTAAATGTCGTAGAATTAATCGTTTGAGTATCTGTAGTTGCTAATTGTCGTTACATTTTCCTTTTCCTATATCTAAATTTCTTTTAATGTGTAT